TATATATATATATATATATATATATATATATATATATGTTTTTACTTACATCACTTGTAGAAAAGCATTCTTCTTCATCATCACTTTTAACTGAATAACACGACATTTTTTTTAATTTTAAAATAAATTTAATAAAAAATAGAAAAAATTTTGAGTACAAAAATAAGAGACGTGAGGACGGTGTAGACTCAATGAGGTATACTGTGTACACTGTGTTAGCTAGTCTCCTTATATGCTATGTTACCTCTTACACTCCTCACCACCCATAAGCATGATTTGTTATAACCACTTTTTTGGCTAAGTTGTTATTCTCACGGATATAATTTAAGAAAGCACTCATGTACGTGTACGAGGTCTTCTACGAATTTTAGAATGTAATACACTATAAGTTGAAAGACCTCGGATAGGTCTCAAACCATTAACCCTTCAACGCCTGGTGTGACCGTATGGTAACACAACAAAATCTATTTATAAATCAGACGTAAACAACGTCTGTGGGTTTATTTTTATTATCTAATCATTGCAATAGATTCTCAGTATGTTTATCGATTTTATTAGCACTGTGGTTACCAACTAATGACAGTTTATAATATTTATAACGATTTTTCCGTTTTATTCAACTACAGAAATTTTTACAGCAATGGATTTTCAACTGGAGTAAGTATAATTATATATAAATATTTTATTTAAATGTATTATTAATATTTGTTTTGAATCTTTGTGTGTATATACTTTATCCTAAAAAGGTTTTAGTTGCACATTACTATTACATACTGTGTAGTAGACTTGGAAATGTGTGTGTTACCGTATGGGTGCTTTAGGCTTTTGTCTGATGAAAACAAAACATATATTGATAATACATATATTTTTCTATAATAATTTATAAAATATAATTTTTATAGTATATACAGTATTAAAAATATTATTTTTTTTAACTATAGAGATGGATTAACCTTACAAGAAGTTCTCGACATCATTGAGTCAAATTATGACGAAAATGATGTCGAAAGTATATTTATTGAACCACCAGACCCTCACGTATTGACTGATGAAGATTCAGGCAATGAGGATGAAGGTGCATATACTTCTAATTTATCAGCTCGTCAATTAACTGCCGGAGCAGAAATAAGGTACCTAATATATTTTATTCTTCAATGAAAAAATGCAGTATACTATTTATTATTATTACAGTACTTATAATATTTAAAAAAATTTTTTCAAGGTTGAAAAGTGGAACTAATATTGTAGATGAAAATACGATTGCCCTCGAAATTGTTGATGAGTTGGAAGACACTGGTTTCAAAATACCTGATAATGAAAAAACTACTGAATGGGTAAAAGGTGATTATGAAATGCCCAATTTAAATTTCCCATCTACAGATTTTTCTAAATATTCGCATATGAGACCAGTTGAAATATTTGAACTTTTTTTTTGATGATAAACTTATTTCATATTTAGTAGAGCAATCCAAACTATATGCACTTTTCAAAAATGTTAATGATTTCGATGTCACTAATGATGAAATTAAATGCTTTATTGGTATATTGATACTAAGTGGATATAATGGACTTCCTGGAAAACGGTTTTATTGGGACTCATCAGATGACGTAGGGAATTCATTAGTCAAAGATTCGATGCGCAGAGATCGCTTTATTTCAATTATGCGTTTTATACATTGTGCTAATAATAATGAAATTAATGTAAACGACAAAGTTTGGAAACTGAGGCCAGTAATGGATATGTTAAAAGATAAATTTTTAATACATTTCGTACCCTCTCAAAATTTAAATTACGATGAATCAATGGTTAAATATTTCGGAAAACATAGCTGCAAGCAATTTATACGTGGCAAACCAATCCGATTTGGATATAAGATTTGGTGTTTGAACGCTCCTGACGGGTATCTTATAAATTTTGATTTTTACCAAGGAATTAGTCCAAAAAGAAAAATATTGTACGAAAACATGTTTGGGAAATGCACAGCTCCATTTATAAAAATGCTCGAAGAATTTCCTAAGGAAAAGAAAAATTTACCATACAGATTTTATTTTGACAATCTTTTTACTGGCCTTAACTTGCTCAAGTTTTTAAAAATAAATGGTTATCACGGTACTGGGACTATAAGAGAAAATAGATTGCCTAAAAATTGTCCAATGTCAAATCAAAAAATTATGCAAAAAAAAAGAAAGAGGAGAATCAGAATCAGCAATTGAAAAAAATAGTGGAATATTTTTTGCAAGATGGAAAGACAATGGGGTAGTCACCATTGGTTCAACAGTACACGGGATAACCCCACAAAGTAAGACCAAAAGGTACTCTAAAACACAAAAGAAAATTGTGCAAGTTGATATGCCAAATTGTGTTTTTATGTACAATAAATACATGGGTGGAACCGATCAAATGGATGAAAACATAGCTCGCCATAGAATTGGAATTCGAGGAAAAAAGTGGTGGTGGTCTTTATTTACATGGCTGATTGATGTTTCTATAACCAATTCATGGAAACTTTATGTTAATTCTGGTCATAAAGTTACTCAGTTAGAATTTAGACGAAATATTGTTCAGGAATATCTAACACGTTTCAAAAACGCACCAAAAAGAAAAGGACGACCAAGTAGCACATCATCAAAAGTTCCAGAGGGTATTCGTTTTGATCGCCTTGACCATCATGTCATACCAACAATTGATGGTAAAAGAAAAAGATGTGCTGGAGCAATGTGCACTTCTTCAGTTCGAACAATGTGTTTTAAGTGCGATGTTGGACTTTGTGTTGACTGTTTTAAAACATTTCATACAAAATAATTTTATTTTTTATTTTTTAAATTTACTTAGGTTTATGTTATAACATTTTTTTTATATATTTTAAAATAACTTTTATATTATAACTAAAAATTAATAATTAATAGCACTTGGAATTGTCATTACCTTATATTTATATTTCAATATTAAATAAAACAACAGATGAGTACTACAAAATTATGAATATTTTTATTTTATTATTTTATAAACATTATATTACTATAATTACAGCTCATTATAGCCTAGTGTGACCATATGGTAACATCAGTTTTCTCAGAAATTGCCTAAGTAAAAAATTTCAAAGCATTTTATTTGTATTCCAGTAATATACCTGACTTCTAAATTGGATAATATAAGTAAAAAAATTTTCAAAAAAAAATTCAGGCTTTTGAGGGTTAATAGAGTCGGTTCTTATATCAATAGGAGAATTGTTGATCTTGGCTTTTTTAGATTGAAAATACTCAACAAAGGCTTCATCAGCATCATTGGAAAGATTACTTTTTTTATGGGTAATTTTTTTTGTTGATTTTTGACTTTTAGTCTGTTCTGGTTGGCTAGAATACAGAATACTTGATTGTGTCGGTGTTTTGAGAGGGAGAGGCATAGGTTCTGTTTCCAGTTGAGGGAAGTGTGGCTGGTCTTGTATTTCAGAAGACTCTGTTATATCGGATATATTCAATAGGGAGTTGTTTTCCCAATATCAGTAGATTGAACATTTTCATCTGATGGAATAGGTGGAAAATTTATACTTGGTACAGCACTACTTTTAAGGAAAGGTACCGTAAACTGCATTTTTTTGCTTTGGATTCGCTATCAGAGCTTTTTATATTTCTAACAAAAGTAGTTCTCAAATTCTTCCATTTCTCCTTACATTCGTTCACTGGAATAATACATGTAAATAATATAAAACGTAAAATGTTTTAATGAAATTTAGTTTAGGCCATTTATTTAATATTTAGGTATTAAATGTTAATACATTTTTCTAATTATTTTTAGTTAATTAATGAAAATTTTTTGATTAACTAATTTAAAAAATTTAATTAATACTTTTTTTATCACATAGATATTTAACTACAGGTTTTAAATTTGTCTCGCTTGGTTTATATTTTTGTCGAAGAGAGTCTACTCTTGGTCGCATCATAGCAGAGACAACCAAGATATTTTGGGAAAAGTTGAATAAAGATTGGATGCAGAAACCAAATAAAGCTCAATGGAAACGAATTTCACAACGTTTTAAGTCTTTATGGAATCTCTCAAATTGTATCGGTAGTTTAGATGGTAAACATATTCGCATCGAGAAACTGCCAAATACTGATTCGAGTAATTTAAATTACAAGGCATATCACTCAATAGTGTTATTAGGTTGCAGTGATGCTGACGGCTTTTTTACTATGATAGAAACTGGATATGCTGGTAGGAACGACGATGCAGGGATATTCCGAGCTTCATCAATGAAATATTGGCTAACTCGTAAAGAACTTAATATTCCTTCACCTTCAAAGCTACCTTATGACGAAAATGACTTCGATTTTCCTTATTATTTTGTAGGTGATGAGGCTTTTCCATTATCGACATATTTGATGAGACCCTACCCAAGACAAAATCTTAACAACGTAAAAAGAGTATTTAACTGTCGAATAGGCCGTGGTAGAAAAACGATCGAGTGTACATTTGGAATGATGACAGAAAAATTTAAAATGTTAAGTGCTGCCATTCGTTGCCATAATGTTGATAAAGTTATTGACATTATAAAATCATGTTGTATTTTACACAATTTTGTCCGAAAAAGAGAAGGAACTCAATATACAGCTCAACATTTTGGAAATGTCGATCGTCGTAACATTGTTGACCTTACTAATGGCTTTACATTAAGTGAATGTACAGACACAGTAAATGATCACTCAACAAGCATCGATTCCATGGCAATAGAATTCTTGTATTTAATTTTTGTGTTTATTAATTAATATTATTTTTGACATATAGTCGAGATTATATATAGAACTCAACCATGCTCAATTAAATTTATAAATAATGCTTTTATACATTATTCAAATAATCATTATATAATTTAAGAATTCAAAAATAAAAAATTTAATATCACATTCATTACATTTTTCTTTATTTATATTATATATTATTGCATTGTGTGTAATTTGTATTATTTTTGTATACAAGTAGGAAAAATAAAATATGTAATCGGCTATAAAAATTAACAATATGAACATAAATAGTGTTATAATATACCAGGGACTGGTACCTTTGGGTTTTTATGGTTCCGGTATTTAATTATTTTACGAAGAGGTTCTGGTTCCGGTTCAAGTTTATAACAATTTTTATTTAAGGGTTCTGGTTCTGGTTCCTGTTTTGGAAAATTAATTTAATAGTTAAAGTTAAATAACAAATATTAAACGAAAATAAAAATGTATGAATTTTATTGAATTTTTAGTATCTTCAAATTAAATGTTTTTTATACCTAGATAGTAGGCACTCGATTGTCGGTACATTAAAATACTTAAATAGGAGTAGTCAAACATAAAAATTAAATATAAATACCAATAGCTATTATATTTATTTATTATAAAACATTACAACATACCTACTAAATAATACAGTTAATTTTTATTATCAAATAACCTGTTAGTACGAACTAATAATTGATTCTTCAAGTTTTTGCTGGAAATATTACTTCAGTACGGAGATAATATAAATTTCAATCTAGAAAAAAGCCGTTCAACGCTTACTTGAGTAACTGGAGCACTAAAAACTACTTTTGCTAGTTGAGATAGCTCTGGATTTGAAGCTTCCATGGTTTTCCAAAATTCTAAAATATTAACTTTATTGTTTAATATTTTTTGGTTAATGTGATAAGATTTCAGAAGAGTTTCAATTTTTGTTGCGATTGTAGATGTTTGTGAATTTTATAAATTAAAATCAATAGACTCTGAATCATTTTGTTTATCTTTATTTTTAAGAAAATTTTCTAATTCATCAGTAGAATCTGTAGATGAGTTAGAACTTTCTTGTCGGTTTTCAATATTTGGATTTGTTTCTTGTGTGTTATTTTTTAATTCGACATTTTTTAAATGAATCCAAACCTTGATTAGATGTTTTATTGCAGTTTTACATTTGTCTTCATTTAAAGTTATTTTAAAGCGAGGGTCCAAAAAAATTGCTGCTAATAACACTTTATTTCCCATTATATATTTTTCCCTGTCCACTATGTTTTGAAGCAATTTCTTAGAAATTAATGTATTTAATACTTCTGTTGAAGTTTACATATTGTCCAAGCGCCGTAAAAATCTGTCAATGTAAGTTGTTCACATTGAAGTTTCTTTGTACATATTTTTGCAGGCAATAATGTTTTTGAAATAGTTTCAACTTTTTTCCAATCTGAATGATTAAGGTTAACTTTTTTAAGCTTAGTGTCATTTGCTGACATGTTTTTTATAAAATCTTTTAAATACATTATTCTTTCTAACATGTCCAATGTAGAATACCAACGTGTTAAGCAGTCGAGTATTGGCAATCTTAACTTTTCTTTTTTTATTAAATAAGAGTAAGTTTGGTTTCTAAGTCGTTTTGTCAAAAATCTAACTTTATTTAAAACTCTAGTTATGTCATCATCTTTTAAATAATCTATTACTGTCAATTGCAAGGTATGGGCTACACAGCAGATTCTTTCAATATAAAATAGAAAACTTAATTAATTTAAATAACTATATATTTTAGTAATTTCAGATTTCATTATAAATAGAAATTATGAATATTTTGTTAAAATATAATTTGCATTTTTACATGAAATATTTGTGTTATGCAGTTTTAAAATCTTTCATAATAATACAATAATTTTTAAATGTTACTAAAACTTAACTTACCAGAAAATATGGAGTAATCACTGAAGTTTTGCAACTCAACATGATTAATTATAAGTTCTGATTGTTCATAATCCTTATCAATAGCATCACTATGTTCATTTAATAATTCAGTTATTTGATCATCATCAAGTACAGTTTGATCCAATTCAAACTCACTGTTAACAAATTCTTACTCATATTAATAAGTACTGATTAAATTTTACTTTTTACATCTAAACATTTTAAATAATAGGTACAACACAAAATATTAAAAAAATAGTTTCATACAACTAAATAAAAATTATTTTTTAATTGAAGTCATGTGTGTTTACCAATAAAATTAACGTTACCTAATTGTATGTGTAGGCATAAGCAATAAATGTAGTTATTTCATTTTACTGTTATTGAATTTAAAAATCATCTTTAGTAAGTTATACCTATCATTATCTTCAGACTCAACAATTGATTCAGCTTCTGATTCTGATATGTCCATGTGTTCAGTTTCTGATTCATTATCAGATGTAGTCACTTTTGACAAAATGTGTTCTTCTATTAGGCTAGTAGCTTTTAACCAGAGCCGGCGAGAATATTTGTGGGCCCCGGGGCTGATCAATTCCGGGCCCCTTTACTTATAGTTATTTCATATTTGACTAAGAATACTAAGATATACATAACACTTTAATACAGTAGTCTAATCGATTAGACGATTACACAGATCGAATTCGCATTGAATGCGCGTATGTTTTGTTATCTTTGTGCGTACTGTTTCGTACTGTGTTGCGTATGTGATAAATGATAATATAGTAGCTACATGTAGCTGTTTAATTTTGAGCGATCGGACGCGAATGTTTACGGCTTAACTTGTAATTCTAAATTATATAACATATAATTTGTATAAAAATCATTTTTCTACTTAAAAAATTAGTAAAATTGACCTCTCGAGTCTATAGGGCCTGTACGACTGTACCTAAATATGCCCCAGAAAACGGGCTTGCCTGGAGGCTCAGGCCCCGGGGCTCTGGCCCCACCTGCCCCACCTTCTCGTCGGCTTTGCTTTTAACATATTTGCCCCATTATCTGATGTTATTGTGTACAATTGGCATGGCTCAATCTTAAATTTATTCATCACATTGAGTATCATATTTTTTAAATACACACCTAAATGATAAAATTCACCAACATTAAATATAATGAAGTATGAAAATATAATATAGAAGAACAAATAATTAAGTAATAAATTAAGTAGTTACCTGTATGTGACTCAGTTAGTTCCAGAAGTCCTATAGTCCTAAGTTCAATGATATCAACAATTACATACTGCAAATTTATTCCTAAAAAGATCTATTCAATCATGTAACAGCATCAATTTTTAATGAAATGAGTTTGTTTTGGATTTCTTTAGTTAATTCATCTTTTAGAAGAGTAGCTTCTTTATTTACATATTTCCTACAAAATAAAATTATTCAAATAAAAAAGATCATGATACCTATAATATTTAGTACCTAAATAAAATATATTTTAATTAGGTATTGATGCTCACTTAATAGTATTGAATTCATTGTCAGAGCCGTATCTAGGGCTTGGCGAGTCTGGCTCAGGCCAGGGGCGCAACGAAAAAAAGGGCGTAAAGCCAGACTAAAATATTCCTATAATATACATTTTATTTAGAAAAAGTGCAAAATACACTTTATTGTAGTCAGAAGTCACTAGTCCGTAGAAACTAGAAATTGTTAAAAATAATTTTAATATAACTAATCTTCTTGGTAAATATTGTACTATTTTCGTTCGCATCGTCGCCGGCGTGCGGCAATGACCGTCGACGATAACGATCGATAATAATTATTATTATCGTAACTATCTTAATATAATATTTGATTAGTCTGCAATTCGACGTCGATTGCGTCGAACAGTTTTATTTATAACTTATAGTGCTCCAACACTCGTGTCTGTATAAAATTATACCGTCGCATCAGCGCGCACGTCAACAGAAAATTTATGTAAGTAATATAGGTATATTATCAAAGTAAATTATTTACCTATAGGCTATAATATCGGGATATAATAATATAATACAATATATTATATAGTAGTATTATTAATTTTTAATGTTATTTCTTAAGAACGAGTAAAAAATATATTACCTATAATAATTCGATAGTCAAAAGGCAAATTTATCTTACCCTCACTTAGGTAGATATTTTTGTTGTAGCGAAAATAATAAATTTCATATAATTTTCTAGTGTTTAACTGATTTCCGTAACCTACCATACCATTCAACTATTATTATTTTTAATATTACTCGTTTATTATAACGTCGTAACTCGTAACCAGTGACGCCCCACGTGTTGTTGAGTATTACAAAATATGAGTTAGATGAAAGATGTAGCGGTAAATCTTCTTATAAGTATTTAGGTACTTATAATTTTTTTTTGCCCCCCCCCCCCTCTGAGTTACATTTCTGCGGGCGTCCCTGCTCGTAACCAATACGTTAAATGTTAAATAGTGACCAATGTTGTAAGACACATACAAATGTTATCATAAGAAAACAGGTAAGCGTAAGCCTCACAACTATGTTGATAAATAACCTGTTTAAAGCATCTCTTGTAAAGTAATGATTTTGTAGGTTACGAAACTTGGCCTTTTAACTATCTTTTTCATCATATTATGATTGAATCATCATTCATTAAACTTTAACAAGCATACGGAGCCTGTCTGCTTTCGTCATATTATGAAAAAATAATCATTTTAGAATATAGAACATATATACTTATTTCTATTCAAATAATATCATGTATTTAAAAATAAACACGTTTTAATTTCAATATATTATGTTAGATTTTGAGGATAAAAATATTATTTTTTTTATTTTCAAAAAAATATTCTTTCTTTGTCGACTGCTTCTTTGGTTATATTTTTATTTTGTATTAAATAGGCTGATAATAAATAATGTCTTCAAAAAAACCGTCAGGGTCGTGGTTTTTCAAAGAAAGAATTAAAAAAGAAAAGGAAAGTAAAAAATTAGTGAATAATATTCAAAAATGGTTAATTCCTGAAGCCGTAAATTCTAACAATGTTAAAGTCACAACACCTGAGCTAAAACTGTCTAATATATCTTCTAATAAATTAAAAATTCTAGAAATTGAAAGTGAACAAATTGACAATGTAGACTATTTCGTTGATAATAACCCAACAGATATTGACAGTAATTTTAATTTTAAAGACCTTGGAACTTAGCCACCAATTACATCATCTATTAGAATACTACTTGTAGAAAAGGGGCCACAACATTGTCAACCAAAAAATGTGCCAAGTGATGATAAAAGACGGCATTTCAATAAAAAGTAGTTTTATAGAAATTTGTCGAATGATGAGAAAGTGAGTAGACAGTGGCTTATGTACAGTGAAGTGAAAAATACTGTATTTTGTTTTCCATGTTTATTATTTTCTAACGACACTAGAAAATGTCCTTTTTTAAATAATAGTTTTAACGACTGGCAGCATTTGAATTCATATATTCCAAATCACGAAAAATCTAAAAGTCATTTAAATAATTTTATAATTTGGAAAGAACTCGAAAAAAGATTACATATGGGAGTCTGGGCCGGCGTTAGGGGGGGTTATAGGGGGATGTCACACCCCCCC